TGGCGTCAATAATACCGAAGGACCAAAGAAAATGTAACAACACTGAAGTGAAATCCGAGTCATCTTTTTTACCCACATTTACCGTCCATGGAAGCCGTTTTTATACTATTTTTAATTTTAGTTCTCTCTACACGACAGAAACAAAGGTTCATATAGCGATCAAACTTTCTTAAAAACACCTAACTACTTCTTCCTTAGTTTGCTACATATTAAGTTTTTACAGAATTATTTAAGTTCTCAACTTCTGTTGTGAAGGAAGCTATAACCACACGGCCATGGTCACAGCAATTAGGGTGTTTGATCGAAATCGACGCCAGAGTAACACTGTCATAGCCAAAGCAAGCAATTAAGGTCCATTTGGTGAATGAGAAAAAACGACTGCTTACTGAAATGTCATTTTTAATATTTCACTGTATAAATAGTTACAACAGTACAAATAAGTGAAAAAGGTGATAATCAAATGGTATTTGATAAGTAACAGTGACTTACCATGACTTTTTTTAACTACTATGAAAGTGGAATTGTAAACCCTTAATAACCTGCTGAACTTTGGCAATGGATTTGTCTTGCTTTAATTTGAAGTAGAACTTTAAAAGTCTAGGGACTTTCATATAAAAATACAAAATTTCAGTTACCAATAGTACAAAGACTGCACAAATGTTCAACTTCTGGCCTGGCTTTATACTGGTGACAAAGACTTATTAACAGGTTTACGATTTTTAATGCATGTGCTGGTATTTGCAATATATCTGACATCACTAAATTAAAGTACACCAATTTTATATTATTCTAAATTAATTACATGTAGTTATAACAATGTTCAATATATTATATATCATACCAGATATAACTGACAAATGGTACAAACATATTTTTTGTATTGAATATATACCATTGTTGTAGATTATCACTATTCCTGTTGTACGTAGTGATTTCAAAGTAAACAGCAGAAAAAGTTACAGAATTTACTTGTCTTCTTCAATGAAACCAATGCTCTTTTTTCAAAACCGTCACATCATTTTCAGAACAAAGTAGATTACTTATACTAATAGCATCAAGATTATTAATGGGTTCAAACCACTCTGTCACTGTGATGTCAAGCAGCAAGTGTTCAGCTGCTACTGTTGGATGAAAACACAAGATGCCTATCCAAACGACAAATCTTACGTCAAAAATGTCATTCTTCAATAAGCTGACTAAATATTTTTATCATACTAAGTCATTATTCTGTTATTATAGCTTACAGCAGTAAACACCAAGTAATTTTAAGTTAGAAGCAAATGTGACAGCTCACAGATGCCTCGTTTTCAAATGTTTTTTTATAACTTACTGTATAAGTGGACATTTCCGCGTGTTGAAAAGTAAGGGAATTTTAAATTCCAGACATTTCACATGTAGAAATATTAGCGGATCGCTGATCTTGGATTGGCGTGAAAACAGGTTGGGTGATATTTCCGCTAAAGGAAATTTTAGCCATGTTTGTCAATTCGCGAAATTCGCCAACATTTCCGCATCGTTAACTAAACCACTTATACAGTACAGTAAAAACCCTCAATTAAGACCATCATCGGGACTGGACCAAAGTGGTCTTAACTGTGGGTGGTCTTAATTGTGAATATTCTTGGTTTATACAGAATTTATTTTAGTTCGATTGTGTAGGAAGCTATAAGCAAGGGGCACAACTCAATTTTTAAAAACGCTGACTGGTTCGATCATGACTGTCATAATGCTTTATGTTTATTTAAATGCTGAAAATATGTATAATATATCAAAACCGGAGGAAAATAGAATACATATGTTGAATAATAAGGCTGTATAAAAAGAAAACGTAGACAGAATGAAGTAAATAAAATTACCCAATTACAAAATCTTAGACACTCAAAGCCAAGAGATTTTTGGAGATTATGTAATTGTAAATCAAAAGGCAATATCAGTGGCAATTTAACAAATAGGGATTTTTTCAACTTATTTTTGTCTCTTCAAAGTGAAATAGCAAAATTTGAAACTGAGGAAGCAGATAATTTTTTAAATAATCATGAATTTGGCCAGGAGGGATGTTTTGATGAACTAGATAGTACAATAACTGTGGAAGAATTAGTGTCTGTTGTTAAAAAAATAAAAAGAAATAAAGCTTTTGGGAATGATATGCTTTTAAAAGAATACTTTATATCATGTATTGATATATTGTCATCTCATTTAGTAGATCTTTTCAACATTATTTTATATATTGGTCGCTTTCCAGATAAATGGTCAGAGGGTATAATTATACCTATTTTTAAGAAAAACGATCCCTGTGATGCTCGTAATTATAGAGGGATTATATTAGAAAGTTGTTTATAAAAAAAATTTACAGGTATTTTGAATAAACGAATTTCATGCTGGGCCGAAAATAACAGTAGATTGAGTAATGCGCAATTCGGATTTCGTCAAGGTCGGTCAACTACGGATGTAATTTTTGCATGCGCTGTGGGCTTGAAACAAGGGGAGATAATGTCGCCTCTACTATTTTCTCTTTTTATAGTGGACCTAGAACTGTTCTTACAAGATAGTCCGTTGTGTGGTTTAACTCTTGACAATATTACTTTTATTCTTTTATTATTTGCTGACGATATGGTTTTACTTGGTAAAAGTCCCGTGGAATTACAGTATAGTTTTGATTTGCTAAATGAATATTGTGAAAAGTGGGGGCTTGAAGTCAACACTGATAAAACAAAAAATTTTGTATTCAGAAAGCGAGGCTCGTTAACTGCAAACGAAAAAAGGACATACAAATGTAGCTTAATAGAAACTGTAAATAACTTTAATTATCTAGGCACTGTTTTTAATTACACAGGCTCTTATACTTTAAATCAGACGACATTAGTAGGTAAAGGATTAAAAGCTTTGAATGTTTTAATACATAAAACAAAACATTATGCTATTAAACCCTCTGTTATGTGCCAACTGTTTGACGCTTTTGTTGCCGCCACCTTGAATTACGGATTCGAAATATGGGGCTTTGGAAAATCGAAAGAAATAGAACGTGTTCATTTAAATTTTGTAAACAATTATTAAATGTTAAAATGTCAACATGTACAAATAGTATTTATGGAGAGTTAGGTCGATTTCAAATGTATATAAATAGATATGTTAGAATCATTAAATTTTGGTGCAAAACTGTATCGACGGAAAATATCTTGATCAGAAAACTATATGCTTGTCTACTTGAAATAAAGAATAATAAAAATTATTGGGTTTATAATATTAAATCTCTTTTAGATGAATACGGATTTTCCTATGTATGGTACAATCCAGGTTTAGTTGACTTGAAGAAAAAATTATATTTTGTTTAAAGGGAGAGTGAATGATGTTTTTAAACAAAAATGGGAACGTAAGTTATCTACCAGTGAAGTATCGTATGTATATATTAAAAATATTTTTGAATTTGAATCTTAAATAGACATTTTACCTAAAAAGTTTAGAATTGCTACATCCAGACTGCGTTTATCATCACATAAACTGAGAATTGAAACAGGCAGATATGCGCCAAATAGAATAGACCGCATTATCAAAGAAAATGCTAGACATACAGGAATGTCCTTACTGACTTGAAGGTGTGGCGGAGTGGTTAACACTTCGGACTAGTAATCTAAGGACTGCTGATCGCGTGGGTTCAAACCCTGTCAGGGGCAAGCCATTGATTCCTTGAGCAAGAAACTTTACATTCATTGCTTAGTACTGGTTGGTTCCAGGAATGTGTTCGAGAGTGTTTTAAAAAGCTTATAGCTTCCAACACAAACTAAAATAAATTTGTATAAAATAAGTCTGAAAGGAATTCATATCATTATCAAATCATTAATTTGGACTTCACTACCTTAAATCAACTAAACTTAAATTAAATCAACTGACCACAAGTCTAAAGAATTGAAAGACCGTTAAGAAGTCAGTGTTGAAAGGCTGACAAAGGTTATTTGTTTAAATTTTTGCATGCCACACATGAAAAAAAAATGAAATATTCTAAAAAATATAGATACAATTCAGAATTAAAATGATAAATCACAAAGTATTTACCTGTGTTTAAATTATAACCCAAAATATACTGTTGTAAAACATCAACTGAATGGTATATACAGCTATTAATAAACTGTAATATGAAACTTGTGTTGATTGGAATAATCAAATCATCCAGCAGTTTTACTGTGGTAAGGGAAACAACTCTTGCTGATGCTAGTTGATAGCTGTTATACTTGGTATTTTTCCTTTGCATCTGAAATAAAGATATAACATAGTTTGTTTCGCAGAAAAAAGCTAATAACATATTAATTTTGACTTGACGACACTTGTTTTTACTTTACAACACATTACAGCTAATTTGCTTTTAACAGACCCCCCCCCCCCCCCCCCTCCCCAAAATTGAAATATTAAAAGAAAGAGCATGCCCTATTTACTCAGTTATATTACTGTAATACATATTTTTTGCGACGGACGCGCCCTCAGGCGCGTTCAGAGCTATGTCATCTACACATGGGATTTCGTCGGCTACGATCGAGCAAATGTCCCCAACCGAATAACAGCCATACTTTGTCGGGATATCTTAAAAACTTCCATTTTTAGCCTTTTCATTTTCAAATTTAGTTATCAAAGTAAAGAAATAAATATTTCTCCATTAAACAAAATATTTTTATTAACAGATCAAAAGTTTTCCGTGACTCAACAATTCTAGAATATCTCGCACATTAGTAACATAATTTTCTAGGTCACGATATGAGTTAACCTGCTAATGTGATTTGTGAGAGATTATAACAGCCTAACACTACTCTAAATAAGATTTTACCCAATTGTTATGCGATGAAAATTTGCAAAATTTTTCTCAATGAAATAATCTTTGTACATTTTTGTAATTGTCATTTTTGTATTGAAACATATTTTTCTCAAATTCAAAAAAAACACATTTAGTTCCCACAGGCTAAGGTGTCATTCATTTCTCAATTGGATGTTGAGCAATCTAAAAAATGAGCAATCTAAAAAATGCATATTTTGATAAGTAATCTGTTGTACAAATTCTGGTGATAAGTCTTTATTGAAATAGAAGACATACATTCCGGCTTAAGACAGCCATTCCGGCTTAAGCTATATTTGTTTGATAAGGCGAACAAAAAGTGTTTTAGCACCTTTTTTCGGCATAAGCAGCCGGCAGTGGTTCGGGATATTTCGATATATAATTTTTGATTGGTTGTTTTTTTTGTAACGTCAATGGTTATTGGTTCAAATCTTTTTTGGTCTTTCCTTAAAAAGTGTGTCTTTCCTTAGTAAAGTCACTTTATGTTGGACTTTACATGTGTTTTATTCTTTAAAATAAAAAAAGGAAAGTACACATATTCTTCTTGATATTTTAGATGTCTTGGAAGAGAGTCACAAACAGGGGCAACAACTCCTGAATTACTTAAACAATAGAGACCGTGCAACAAAGCACAAAACTGGTGGGTAGGGATCTTTCCTGACCTCACAGATTAGCAAGCGAGAAGGAATGGTGCTAACTACAAAACCATCTGCAGTGAACATTGTACAAACTCGGTCTTCAAAACAGAACCAGACACAAAGTTCACTTTCTAGTTTACATCACATCCAGATTGAAGCAAACACACCATCAAGTCCCGTTACGGTAAACGCCTCTTCATTAACCAGTACTGTTCCTAGTGCAGATATTGAAAATATCTCTCACTTCACCAACATGGCTGGAACCCTTCGGTTAGAACCTTTCAAGGGAGAGTGTGGTGAAGATATTGAAAAGTTTTTGAGACGTTTTGACCAGTACTGTGCCTGTATGAATTTTAGAGAGGGACAAGCTTTTGCTCAATTTGCCTGGCATTTGGATGGAATTGCTAGACTCTGTATTGAAAATCAATCACCGGCTCCAACCACACTTGATGAATTAAAAGAGTTATTAGTGACAAAATATTCCAAAGAAAAACCTGTGAGTCTGAACATTTTCAGTATGAAGCAGGAAGTTTCGGAAAATGCAGAACAATTTCTATCGCGATTAGAGGCAGAAACTTTCAAAACTAAAATAAATGATGACTTACAAGTCCAGATCGCACTCAATGGTCTTCACCCAAGTGTAAGTTCTGCCATTTCAACTCATGGACCAAAGACATTGTCAGAAGTACGCAATCTTGCGCGTCGCTTAACAAATGTAAGACATTCAGCACCGGTAGCTGCTACCAATAATTCCTTTGAAGATACTGTGAACATTTTAACGGCAGCAGTTGCTCAATTAACAACTGTTATGACAAAACAACAGCCGGAACCGCCTTCTAGGAATTACAGTCCTCATCATCGCCAACCACAAACAAGACGCCAACCTCACTTTGAGAAGAAAAGAGAAGCATGTCCACGTTGTGGAGGTAGGTGCACTTCCTATAAATATTGTAGAGCAATAGGCAAAACTTGTGACTTATGTGGTCTTAACAATCACTTCAAATCTAAATGTAAGACGGCTCGCAAAAACTATCGGGTAAATTCCAGCTAGGGACTCGCGCCTATCTGCAGGTGTGAGTCTATCAAACCAGTAGATGGGCACAATGATATGAAAACAAAGAAAACCCACAATGATACAAATTTTCAAAAAACCCATAAAAACCAAAAAGATAAAGACTACTCTTCTAAAAAAAATGACCATGATTTAGGTAATAGTGCTGCCAAAAGCAACAAAAGAAAATCTTTTGTAACAAATAATTCTGATAAAACTGTAAAAGAAGCTGAAGTAAATGCCAATTTTTCTGCGGAGTTACTGAGAAATACTGTTGTTGTTTCTGTCAATCAGAGAAAAACTCCGGCCTTATGTGACACGGGTGCTAATGTCTCTTGTATAAGTAAATCATTTTAGACAGAATTTTCCCAGATGACAAACCGCAGTATGTTCCCAATATTTTTAATTCAATCAAAGGTGTAGGTGGAACAATTCATAGTGTTTCTGGTGCAGTGGAATTTGACATTAAATTTGGTAATCTGACATGTCCACACCATTTTTTAGTTGTGGAAGATCTTCATCATTCCTTGATTCTAGGTCATGATTTTTTGAATAAATACAATTGTATTGTTGATATTCCTGCAAAATTATTGAGAATAGCTGATGTTACAGTTTGTAGTTTGAAGACTGATCAAGGGTATGCTAGAACTATTAAGCCAGTACGCATTAAAGCAGAGTCAGAGGTTCTACTCCCTATAAAAATTGCCCGAGTTAGTTCAGGTACTGAAGTTTTACTAGAACCTTTACATAATTTAACAAAACTCAACATAGTAGGTGCAAAAAGTCTTGTTACTGTTATAAATGGAAAATCAGTAATAAGGGTTGCTAACCCAAATGACAAAAATGTTTACCTAAAAGGAAACAAAATTGTAGCTAAAGTATCAGCCTTCAATCAAGAGAGTGTGTTGTGTTTAGAACAGACAAATACAAATTTTGAGTCAAAACAAAAATTAGTAAGGGGAAATAATAGCAAAATTACATTTGATTTGTCAGATTCAAATTTAACTGAAGAACAGAAAACAAAATTGTTAAATGTACTGCAGGGAAACATTAATGTTTTTTCTGATGGTCCTTATGATCTAGGCAAAACTCATCTGCAAGCTCATGAAATCGATACTGGAGATGCAAAACCAGTTCGTACTCAATTTTATAAACAAACACCCGAAATGCGTAGAAAACAAGATGAAATGATTTCAGATATGGTAGACAAAGGTGTTCTTAAGGAAAGCAATTCAGGTTGGCACTCGCCTGTAGTTTTAGTGAAAAAATCAGACACTTCTAAAACTGGGGAATATCGTTTTGCTGTAGACTATAGAAAACTAAATAAAGTTACTAAACCCATAGCTCATCCACTACCTAGACTTTCGGATATGTTTGATGCAATTGCAGAAGCAAAACCAAAATATTTCACCTCATTAGATCTTGGTAAAGCCTTCTGGCAAGTCCCTTTAAGTGAATCAAGTAAGGAAAAAGCTGCTATTATTACTCAGAATGGCATATTCGAGTTTCAAACAATGCCATTTGGTTTGTCAGGGGCTCCAGCCACTTTTCAGTCATTAATGATGAAAGTCCTTAAGGGTATTTCTTGGAAATTTGCTCTGTGCTATGTAGATGATGTCATAATTTATTCCACAAATTTTGAAGAGCATTTAGATCATATTGCAGAAATACTTAAACGCCTTGCAGAAGCTGGTCTGAAACTCTCACCAAATAAATGTAAATTTGCTCAAGAGAAATTGCATTACTTAGGTCATGTTATCAGTAAGGCAGGTATAGAAACTGACTCTAGAAAAATTGAAAAAATACAAAATTTAATTGCACCTACAACTCAAAAAGGAGTTAAAAGCTTACTTGGTCTTACAAATTACTATAAAAAATTCATTTTAGTAAAATTTGTGCTCCACTTTTTGAATTTTTAAAAAAAGATAAGCCCTTTATTTGGTCTGAACAATGCCAACAAGCCTTGCAAACACTAAAAGATGCACTTACAACAGCACCAGTACTTGCTTTCCCTGATATGGAAAAAACCTTTTATACTGACATGCGATGCTTCGAGGTCCGGGTTAGGTTATATTTTAGGACAACTTGATGATCAAGGCAGGGAAAGGGTCATTGAATACAATGGTAGGGCTTTACAGGCAGCTGAAAAAAATTATTCAGCTACAGAATTGGAATGTTTGGCTATTGTTGAGGGAATTAAGGCATATAAAGCATATTTGTCAACTGGAATGAAATTCACTATTGTGACTGACCATAAAGCATTAAAAACACTTAATACTATGAATAACTCAACAAATGGTAGGATCGCGAGATGGCACATGTTACTTGTGGGATACAGATATGAAGTTGTTTATCGTAAAGGCGAAAACAATAATGCAGATCCACTATCTCGTTACACTCAAGAAATTGACGTCTCTAAAGGTTCAGGAGCAACAGACACTGGTCTGATGAGCTATGAAGGACTGAAAAACAAACAGTCTTCCATGGCTTTGTCAGACAACAGTACACCAGACACAGTAATACCTTTACAAATACCTTTACAAGATGTCGAGTCATCAAGTTCTCATGCCTTCATTGCTCAGACTCATCAAAAAGAAAGTATGAATGGGATAAGTTCGGTGGAAGAAATTCCATCATCTTACTCTGTTCAGACTGAACAAAGGGAATGGCTTTAAGCAACTATTGAATATGATGAAGGAACCAATGTGTGTTCAGCTGAAGCTGATTCCTCACAGCAACAATCAAACCATACAACTGAAGAACCTTTGATAGATTTAATTGAACTTCAAAAACAATACATTTATGACTATTTAACTGAAAACAAAATACCTGATGATCCTAAACTTAGTAAAACGTTAGAAATTCAGAAAGATTATTTTCATCTACTTGATGGCATTTTAATTCATCACTTTCAAAACAGAGCTAAGAAAAAGCCTACTGATGAACGTTTCATTATGCAAATAGCCTTACCTAGAAAATTAAGATTAAAAGTCTTGGAACAAGTTCATGATAATAATGGAGCTGTTCAAACAAAATACTTTTGGCCTCATATGTATCAAGAAATTGCAGACTATGTTAGATCATGTGAAAAATGTCAAAGAGTAAATAGAGACCCAAATGCTTCTTGTACCCCGTTAAATCCTCTTCCTGTGGTAGGAGCTTTTGAAAGACTCCATATGGACATCATCGGTCCTCTAACAAAAACGTCTGAAGGTCATTTATATATTCTTGTCTGTGTTTGTAGCTTTACTAGATGGGTAGAAGCATTTCTTTTGAAAACCCAGTCTGCTTCAGAAATTGCACAAATATTGCATGATGAAATTTTTTGTAGATACGGAGCTAGTAATACAATAGTTACTGATAGGGACGTAACTTTTATCCAAACTTGTCAACGCCATATGCGAAATTTATCAAGTGAGTCGTCATAAGACTGCAAGTTACAATCCACAGGCCAATGGCTGTGTAGAAGACAAAATGCTACTATAAGTAAAACTTTAGCAAAATATGTGCAAAAAGACCAAAAAAATTGGCATCGCATCCTTCCTGTTGTTCTAATGGGCATGAGGTCACAACCAAACACTGAAACATCAGCCTTTAGTCCATACAAAATGCTCTTTGGGGGAGAAATGAGGTTACCTTTTGACACCACCTTGGTACCTAGGGACAATTTAAAACCCCAAGACAAAGTCATTGTTAATGAATTGTTAGAAACTTTAAAATTAGTTCATGGTACAGCAAAAACAAACACTGAAATAACTCAAAATGAAAGTAAGGAAAAACATGACATACAGGCCAAAAATTCAGACTTTATGCTTCTGGAATTAGTACTTAAGAAAGTACACAAACATACTCCAGGATTATCTGGCAGACTTGAAGAAAAATGGGATGGTCCTTTTTATATAGTTGCAAAGGGACCTAATGATACATACAAATTGGCCAATTGTAAAACTAATAAAGTTGGAAAATCATTTGACACTTCTCGAAACCTGAAACGGCACTACCAACCAGATGTTTATTGATATAATCTTATGTCTGAACAAACTGACAATGATCCTGAGATTGATAATGATGACCATGTGGAAAGTGAAACTGACGAAAACTCGCCAGGGACTACTACAACGGAATCACAAGAAAAACAAAATACAGAAAAGGACCGGCCTGAAACAACCACTTCAAATGAAGCAATTTCTGATGAAGCTGAAAACAAATCTGATAATACACAGAAGCAAAACAACGAGATAACAAAAAGCACCATTCCAGAATTCCCAAATGAAAACAAACAATCCAAACCACAAAATAGATGGTATACAGTAAATAAAATATTGAAACAGAGGTTTAGAAATGGAAAGAAGCAATATTTGTTAGAATGGCAAAACCAAAGGTATACCGCATCTTGGCAAGATGAAAACGATGTTTCTCCAGAACTTAAAAGGTTGTTCCATGTAACACATACAAAAACTGGAAAAAGGAGAAAGAGGCAAAAATATAGATTTCTAAGAAGAGTTGAGCCAAGCCCAATAATAAATGCGAATTAGATGTAAATTCAATTTTAGTTAATATGTGCACTGCTATATACTTGCAAATCCAATACATTAAGTTCTAAGCTGTTAAGAATTCAAAGATACTTTTTCTGTACATACTTAGCCCTTGTTTCTACAACTGATTTGGGGTTAACTTTTAAAGCATGTATATACAGTATGTTTGTCACCACAAAATTAATACATTATTGTAAGTGAGAGTGTTAGAGACTAGTAAGGTTTATTCCAAACTATCAAACTACTTAAGTTTGCAAACTAAACCAAACGTTATCCATATATCAGTGAAATGCATGTTGTAGTATGTTAGTTGTATGAGTGTGATGTGTGATTCCTTCAATTTTTTTTATCAACTGCAATTCCTGATAGGTACAATATTGTTGCGCGCCAATATCGTCACCATCTTTGGATAACAATCAAATCCTTATATTTTTAGTTGGCTGGAGTAAACTGATGCTGTTTCTGATCTCCATTGTTTTGTGTTTCAATATGGTATCTGGTAGTCTACCAAATGAATTGCAGCGACTGAACTATCGTGTTGTTTTCGAACCATGGAACCGCATGCACATGGCAACTGAAAGTTGGATCCACACCTTTGCTCTGGAGTTACCAAAAGACCTAAACCTAATAGATTTAACAGGATGTGCTTTAAGTCCAAATACTTGCAAACTTGTAAATGAAGTTTTGTTAGAGATAAATCAAATCAGGCAAACAACAGAAATCAAGCTAAATGCTACAATGGATTCTATATACCAACTGGTTCCTGAAACTAAAATTGCTATGAGCAAATCAAGGTCACGCAGGTCCTTGTTACCATTTATCGGCAAATTGTCAAAATCATTGTTTGGAACTTGCAACTTCTGGAAGATGTAGAAATGTTAGCAAAACATGTAAATGCCTTGAACAAACTTTCCAGAACAATGACTTACAATATTGAACAACATGAAAATAATTTAGCCTCTTATATTGCATACAATGGATACTAGAGTATCTAACATTGTTAAAGGGATGAAAGAAAATGAAATAGCCATTCAGCATATTCAGACACAATTATATGATACATTTGAAAATCTTGAACAATCTTTTGCAACAATGAATGTATTGATGGCTAAACAAATTGAAAAGTCTAGAATGTTAGAGCATAGTTTTAATGAATTATTAATGGGAGTTTATAATTTAGCTGAGGGAAAATTATCTCCACATATATTCCAGTATCTGTCATGCAAATTAATACTATGTCAAAAATACAAGTTATTTTACATCAAAATTTCAAGGACATTATTTAATTTTCAGAAAATCTAAATGAAATATACAAATAGTACAATTTATTTTTGCACGAAAGGCTCAAAATTGTATATATCTGTCAAATTTTCCTATATCTGCATTTCAACAGCCTATGTTACTTTATAAGGTATTATCGTTTCGGTTCCAATTAATAAACATCAGACCATGCCACCACAATTGTTGGATTTACCTCAGATTTTTGCAGTAACAAATGATTTAAAGCTTTATACAACTCTTGACTTGATAGATTTGAATAACTGTAACTATGGTAAAATTTACCTATGGCAAAATAGTAAAGTTTTGTCAGTTATGTCTGATGATACTTGTGTTTTCAGCCTTATTCAAAGGTGACACACTTCTGATTAAAAGAAAAATGTAACTTTAGGTTTTTGGTTTATCATTTGTCAGCTAACATGGTTCAATTGTCCTCATACTTCTGTTTTTACTATATAATGTAGACAACATTTCATATGAATTGTAAAGGAAACACTAAAGTAAACAAAGGCTGTACATTTGTATTATAAATGTACCTTGTGAATGTTCATTAGCAACAGATACACTATATTTTACCACCCAGACTATCTGCTTGTCATAAAAACAACAACCAGTATGTTACACCCAGTTAACTTGGCTTTACTTCAGCAATTTTTCAATGATACTGAATTACAAAACATAGGAAGTAATTTACTGTTTGAAAATCCAATGTCTGTGGATGTGCCACAATTTAAAATTCAACAACCATTCTATGCAAAATTATATATTTGCTGATGATAGGAAAAATCATTTAAAATCTGGAAAAAAATGGCCAAAGCTGCAAAAAAATGATGCTCTAATATTTCAAACAATGACTGATCCACTGTTATATGAGATATTGCTTTACAAAATGACTGGCCTTCTTCAGATGACATACTGCTGTATTGTACAACAGCTGTAACTTCTTTTTGTTTTAATTATTATTGTTGTCCTTTCCTTGAAACTGAGAAAAGATTCTCATCACTTTATCTATTTTGCAAAAATCACAGTTAAAACAGCTCATGCAGCCACACAGTACCATCTTTTGTGTATAAGAAACCAACAACAACCCAAAGTCCAGATAGTTATTTTTTTGCAAAATTGAGACATTAGGCTAGAACATTATCTACTTACATTTACTGTCCTTACCATGATTTTAGTGTTCATTTTGGTAATTAAAAAATGCACAATTAGTAACAGATCCACACAAATTATAGCTGAAATAACCAATGGAAAAACATGCATTCATTTTCCATTGCATAACTTATCATCGTGTCCAAACTACATTGGAAAATAACTGTGCATACAGGAAATCTCCTGTATTTCAGGTTTCAAGGGTTATGGAACCCAATTGTTACATTCTCTGGGATGTTTTCAAGATACAAAATATCCTAAATGAACAAGTTTTTCACATTTCACCTTACATTAAAAATTGTCTAAAATCTAAACGTTTGAGAGAATATTATGAAAACTACATATTAAGTGCATTTTTATGTTAAACATAAAAATCTGGTAATACCCACAGTTTTAATGAGACATTGAAAGCCTATTGCTTTGCAATTTAGAGGATTGCACCTATAAACAAAGTACAAAAAGTACTTATATGATTCATGACTGTGTGCTTACTATGATATACCTTGTATATATAAATGTTTATTAACATTGTTCAAATGTAACTTCTTTGTTAAATGTTCAAACTTGTTAACATTTTATTAAAAATGCAGTACTTGTGTATGTCATTAATCATAGCTGTAATTAAATGCCATCTGTAAATATTATTGTATTTTTGTCACATTTTATATGTGAACATGCATAACTTGTTATATATCATGTTTTTTTGACTTCATTGAAAGCATTATTTCAATTGAAAGTGTATTGTGGTACTACAATATGAATATCTTAGCTTTACTTTATAGGACCTAGAAGTAAAAAATAAAGGAGGTGAAATTGTTATGCGATGAAAATTTTGCAATAATCTTTCTCAATGAATAATAATCTTTTGGTACATTTTTGTTAATTGTCATTTTTGTTTATTGAAACATATTTTTTCTCAAATTTCTAAAAAAACACATTTGGTTGCCACAGGGCTAGGTGTCATTTCATTTCTCAAATTGGATGTTGAGCAATCTAAAAAAATGCATATTTGTTGTAAAATTCTGGTTGATAAGTCTTTATTGAAATAGAAAGACATACATTTCGCGGCTTAAGACAGCCATTCCGGCTTAAGCCCATATTTGTTTGATAAGGCGAACAAAAAAGTGTTTCTAAGCACCTTTTTTTCGGCATAAGCACCCGGAGTGGTTCGGAATAATTTCGATATATAATTTTTTTGATTGGTTGTTTTTTTTTTTTTTTGTCACACGTCAATGGTTATTGGTTCAAATCTTTTTGGTCCTTTCCTTAAAAAAGTGTGTCTTTCCTTAGTAAAGTCACTTTACATGTGTTTATTGCTTTAAAATAAAAAAAAGGAAGTACAACATATTCTTCTTGATATTTTAGATGTCCTTGGAAGAGAGGTCACAAACAAGGGGCAACAAGCTCCTGAAAAATTAACTTAAACAATGCAACAAAGGCACAAAAACAATCACCACCTACATCACCTGTGCTGATTTTCGGACAGTACACATTATACATGTAATAAATAGCGGAATACTTACTTTTTGTTACAGGCAATATTTTAAGAATTTAATACAATTGTGGAAAGGTAAACAAGTTTGAAACTTGGAATTAAAGTGTGAATTGAAGGGACAGAACTAAACACTGTAGTGCTTAATGACA